GACAGTGCACATTTTCGCTCCCTCCCAGCTCCCTGCCAGACAGTGCACATTTTCGCTCCCTCCCAGCTCCCTGCCAGACAGTGCACATTTTCGCTTCCTCCCAGCTCCCTGCCAGACAGTGCACATTTTCACTTCCTCCCAGCTCCCTGCCAGACAGTCCACATTTTCGCTCCCTCCCAGCTCCCTGCCAGACAGTGCACATTTTAACTCCCAAGTTTTAGTTGCCTTGCTGTGCAGTGGAATCCAGAGGGTTAAATGCAGTTGTGAACCATTCCAATGAATAAGAACGTTCACGTGGGAGACGTACACCAGAATTCAGCCTCACAAAACGAGGGAGCCTTCAATATGTCTTCTGCCTACAAGGCGCAGGCAGGACAGGAAATATCAGCAATCGCAGCAGGCAAATGGAGAGTGTGATTGAGACAATTATGAAACAGGTTTTCTTTCAAAATAGCTCAGACTTTCTGATAATATCACTCTCAGGAAGGAGACGAGTCAGTTCAGCGTGATTTAATCCAACGCTTGCAACACCACCAAAAGAGGAAACAGAGAAAAAATGTCCGAGAAAAAGGGCTGCTGAACGAGTAAACGGCTGACAGATTCACACACCCATGTGCCTGTTTGAATTGGTTTTTGTTGGCAGTCCTGCAGAGACAGCTGCCTCGGTCGGGCCCATACCTTTTGCAGTGCAGCTCGCTTGGGAAGTACAGCTGGAAGTCATCCGAGTTGTAGAGGACGTAGAGGAAGCAGCATCGACCGTCGAATTTGGAAACACTGTACAAAAGATGAGTCCAATGAGGGGCGAACAAACGGAGGAAGGGACAATGAAAACGATCATTCATGCTTAACATATGAAATATTATTCACTATTTTTAAAATCTTGTGTACGTGGGGTTATTATGGTTATATTGTCCTCAGGGTTCCCAAACTGTTTAATGGTTAATCATTTAATCAAATATAGGTACTAGTTGGCATAAACCACATTCAGTTATCAATTACTTGATCGTTCAGTTGCCATGGTGACAAACATAACCACGACTGGCTGACTTACTGGGTAAAACAGGAGTTTATGTACACCTGTCAAACTTGATGCAGTTTTAATACTTGAGAAATCTGAATTTTGGAAAGGGACTCTGATTTACTTGCACTCCCTCAGAGTCCTAAGAGCCCCCCCCCCCCCCCCCCGTAAGCAGTCCCCCCATTTTGGGGGGGGGGGGGGCTCT